AGATGTACCCTCTGTTTCAGAAAAGCAGAAACGCGTCGAGTGCAGACCACACACCACAAGTGACGACGGCCTCCACAAAATGTAAATGTTTTCTGCCAATGAAATGATTAGCCTGTTGCAGTTGTATTCTATCAGTTGTCACTAATTACAACTATCATTTACCATTTATCAGCTATGAATCACTAGCTACCAAATTCACTTAGATACCGTCGTCACTTGTGGTGTGTGGTCTGCACTCGACACGGTTCTGGTTTTCTGGAAGAGACGGTACCGTTGAGTCTGACTTTGTCAACCGAGCACTTTTCACTGTTGACAGTTAAGGTATAATACTTCTTGTATAAGTAGTCTTGGCGAGTGAGGTCCGCGCGACATTCGCGCCGCTCACTGCGGTTCAGTTTGACTTTCTGAATTCAATACGGAGCTTGCTATATCGCACGGAACGTGAGACGATGACGGTAAACCCTGATTCAGGTCATTTTGAAATTCAGAGAACGCATATGTCAATACCAAATCCTGATGGTATTTCTCTCAATATGACACTCTTTGAGAAACGGTCCGCTCCAAAACTCCGAATAATATGCCCGCTCAACTAAAAAAAACCGGGGGAGGGGGTGGCCTTTCAAGATGCAGCAGGTACTGCACTTGTATCGTATTCCGTCGTGTTGGCACCGTGCCCTGCAGCAAAAGCGTGTGCAGACGGGGGCGATAAAATAGCGCCTCGTTATGAGCAATGGCTAGCCATTTCCCATTCGTGAAACTCGTCCTTCAAAGTGGAAAACGGCTGAAAGAGAGGGTGCCTTTGGGGGGGGGGCGTAGTCCTATTTTTCGTTTTGAATTTTTTCCCGAACCACTGGTTTACCTCAGCCTTTATTATGAACGCTTTACCCATCTATTTTATCCCGTGTCGATGCCCTTTAAAAGCTTGCCATCCGCTCTTCATCCTGATTCATGGATTAGATTAGACGTCGGTCACTTGCTGGTGTGGGTCTGCACCGACATGGGGGTTCTGATTTTTGGAGTAGACTGGCACCGTTGGTCCTGACTTTGTCAACGCAGAGCATTGTTCACGTGGTTGACAGTAGGTATAATACTTCTGTATAAGTATAGTCTTGGCGCAGTTGGAGAGATCAGCTGCGCAACAGTCGCGCGCTTATTTCGTGTTTCAGATTTGACTTTCAAAAATACGTACTACGTATGTTTACGCATGAACGTGAGGGACGATGGACGGTTACACCCTGTCAGGGCAGTGGGTGTGCAAGATTTGAGAAACCCATATGTCCGATCGCTTATGTATTTCTACAATATCATTGCCACTTTGAGAAAGTCAGAAGTGCAACCGCGAAACGTCCGCGTCCAAACTCGCAAATAAAGATGCCAATCCTGAAAAAAGGGGGAGGCGTCTTCAAGATGCAGCAGATACGTGCCATTGATCGTAGTTGGCCACCGTGCCCTGCAACAAAAGCGTGTGCAGACGGGGGCGATAAAATAGCGCCTCGTTATGAGCAGTGGAGCTAGTCATTCGTGAAACTCGTCCTTCAAAGTGGAAAACGGCTGAAAGAGAGGGTGCCTTTGGGGGGGGGGCGTAGTCCTGTCCTGAAGCCCTCATTACGCAGTTTTTTTCCCAAACAGTTCATACCTTACAGGTTTATGTAGGGAACGGCTTTAACATCCATTTATTCAAGTCATGCCTTTAAAAGACTATCGTTTCTTACGTATTTTGTATTTGATAGCTCATATTCGGACAAAATGGCTAGGTAAGGTGTTATTGCGCAGCACCGGCGCTTTGTCCCTTAGGATCCTACATACTTACGCTTTTTTTCTGATTTGACGGGTTTTAGTGCTAAAGTTCTAATTTTCAATTTTTGCGGAGAATTAAATAAAATAGAGGTGTTTTAGATTCATCATGATGGCTATTTACCGATCCTAAAAGGTCGTGTTCTTGGAAGCGCATGGTAATGAGCCGTTCTTCCGGTGGAATGGTGTCATTTTGTGTCATTCGGCTGATTGAGGTCTCCGAGCAGCTTCTAGGTGCACTTCTCGCTCTAATACACCTCGACAAGTAAAAGACAACCACAAATTTGTTTTTTGACTAGAATGGAGGATCGTTCATTAGACGATTCAGCGGCGCTTATCGCAAGGCCGGCCGTACTGTCAGAGAGGCGATGGAACTTCAGAAGAAAGATGAAAATTAGCTTCTCATTCTAGGACCTCTCCTTTCCCGGTGAGGCATCAACCGCATTGATTTGGCCAGAAAAGGAATGTGCTATACGTGGCTGTTTGAATCAGTTGCCACATGCAATGCCCCCTGTCTCGCGTAGCGCTGGATGACGTACTTTATTGCAAGATGTTCGCATCTATAGCATGCCTTGACAATCGCAGGGAGGCTAACTATCATAGAATTATCTCTCGATAGATCCCTTGTCCCCGTCGAATTTTAATGGATTTCAGGGTTGGGGAGGGAGGTGTGGAGGTGGAAGAGGTCCACGAGCCACGCCTTAACAGAGCCCTCGAAGAGGGAGCGGCTATGGGTTACTTAAACTCTTTCCTTCATTAAGCATCGATGTGCTCCCTTCGGCTGCGCTTTCTAACTTAAATAATGGTCCATGACCATAAGGACGCTCAGAATTGGGCACACCAAAAAATGATTTAGCCCTCCCTCCCCCACCCGACAAACTCCGGGTTTACGGACTACTTGATTTTTCCTCAATGGTCCTGCCGCGATGGCTAGAGCACAGACGATTAGAGAACGGGTGAATGCCCTAGGACTAAGCCTTGGAGAGGAGAGGGACCCGCGAGAGAGCGCAGAGGCGGTTTAAAGGGCTGAGTTCAAGTAGTCCGTCGACCGACGATTTTCAACATGCTAGGAAAGTTACAGAACAGTCACGAATGCAAAGGGAACAGGGATACGCGAGCGTTGCCGTTGCCGGCCGTGCATGATTGACCGTTTAGTTGAGATGCGCCGTCTAAAAATCCAGGGGCCTCCAGGCCTTCCATCAGAGGAAAAGTTCCCTTCGAACTCGAATCATGATCCATCCTGCTTCGGCAATTTGAGGCGCGTGACTCTTCCAGAGAAAGGAGCTTTCAGGTCAAAATTAAGAGTCGTAGCAGTTATTGTAGGCGGGCTCTATAAGACAGGTACTGAGCGTGTGCGGAAAGTGAAGGATAGGGTCAAAGGATCGGTCCATCCCCGGGGAGGATTGACCCTGTCCTGTTCTTTGCTTCCTTTGAAGCTTGGTGACTTATGCGGAGAAATGCTAAGGCGTTTCATATGCGTGATTTGAATTAGTCGGCTGATTACTTCATTCCCTGGTGACCAATTAGAGTTATTTAGTTGGCATCACAAACGCTTTTCTCCAAGAACGTAACTTTCCCATGGAAACAAGTGACCGTCATTGCTTATCCAGAGCTTGACCCTGAACATTTCTTTCTCGACATATTTCTTGTGCTGGAAATGGGGCTTAATCCGACTCTCACAACGAGATTCCGCCTCTTTCGAGCCCTCCAGCGTTTCGAAATCTGATAGCTGTTAAGCGATATCCAGCGACATAAAGCATCAGGATCTGCGATACGTGGGCGTAATTGGGAAGACGCCACGGTCGTGTTTCAACTGCGCTTGCCGAGCGCGAAACGTTTACTGTGTGCATGCAATTTCAGTTCGATTGCCAGGAAAAAAATGCTCCACAAAAGGGCATCCGGACAGCCGGAAATGTCTTTCTCGACAGCCGTTCATTGTCACAGTAAACGATGACATGCGTGCCCCATTGAAGGAAAAAAGAAGAGTACAAAGGGCGTGCATATTTGATTCGAAAAGGCAAGCTAATGAGATCTCTAATGACACAATAGGCAACTTAATTCTTTTTAGGTTGCTTCCTGGGATTCTTTCGTACTGGGATACGGTAGTATTTCAAAAGCCCAAGAAATGCCATTCTGTCAGAAATTTTCAAATTCTCGTTACCACAAGAGTACTGTAGTAGATGATAGGTACGGAGTAGTGATTTCGATATATGGAACCTCAAGGTTAAGGTCGCTTACAAGGGAGGTTTGCCAGGGTTTAGAGCGCTTTCCTAAAACGTTTTTTTTTTGCACGGAGTAGGGGCTCTCACATGGGTGCAAAACTGAGGTTCATTTTCGCTGAGAGGTCCCGGAAGGCTGAAAAAGTCGAAAAAATTTGGCGGTAGGTGGTTTATATCGGATTCCGCTAAAATTCTAACTGTAGGGATACTGATGGTCCTGGTGATGAATCTGTCGTGGCGCTATTTCGAGCAATTTTGAAGCTCCACTCCGAATACAAAAGTTTTCTCGTCACGGGGATTGAACCCTGGACCATTTTTTTACCACTCTGTGGCCTTCACGGGTCAGCGCAGCAAAAGAATCTCAAGTTGTTGTCCATGTGCCATAAGTTCAGAATATATGGGAATGATTCAACAAGAGCGTTCAAACCTTAAAAAGCCTTTCTGACCGGATGGGAGCTTATCCCGGAGTTTTCTTTGCCAGAAAAGAACGATTCACCGGAGGGTTATGAGAGCTGAAACCCGACCTCAACTGATTCAATAAGTCCGAGCTGTACCTTCATGTCTTCAATTAGCGGGATGAACTCAAGAAAAGCAGCTTCCAGCCGGCCTCAAAACATTGAGACAGGGGCATTAGCTCGACTCACGTAGGGTTGTGGGCGGTACATTGTTGGGAAAGCTTGGATGACTTCTTCGAAGAAGGGAAGGTTCAGGCGATGGAGGGGGGGGGGATGGAACTATTGAGTTTCACAACCAAAAGCAAGTCGCCAGAAAAAAATTCCTGATGCATTTCATAAGCCCAAATGATCAAAATGAGTTCGCGTTTTGGGCAATTAAAAAAAAAAAAAAATTGAAGTTGACCTGGACAGCCGGCTTGTACAATCCGCTTCGACTCTTCAGCGGCTCGTTTAAAACATCATTACGAAGGCCGAGGGTTAACACAGCGTTACGGTAACTCGCGAAAGTGATAAGTCTTAAAACCCGATGAAATTACCTCTCGACAGTCGGAGGTGACCGAGCGTCTTCTTCGTCTTCATGCCTGTAGGTAGGCAGAAAGTCGTTTCCTCCAACACGTACGATACGAAACACGTAGTCGAGCATCGCTCCGCTTCCGACTGCTGTCGTGCGCTTGCGGAGGCGTGGCAATGACTTCTCTGGAAAAGTGACACTTCGTTAGCTCAAATTTACGGCGGCATAGATTTTAGGCTTGAGCGCTACCTTTTCCAGGGCCACTCCAAAGTGGGAGGATCAAGACGCGGCAATAGGCAGCCTACGATTCCAAGGTGGCGAGGAAGACTAGTGAGTGTTGACCAGCGGACATCTGTAGCGGAGGGCACTGCACCCCGTCACAGTTCACCAAGGTGAGTGACGATGGCGAGGATTCATCTGGAACTGGAGCTTTTCCCAGAACCGTCATACCGCAGCTGACACTTCTGTACTGACCTCGTTGATGAAGATGAATGTAGATGATATCCTCCATGTTCACGCTCAGAGCTTGCTTCCATAACCACTGCTGTTCTGCTTCTTTTCCGGAGGCTGTAACATAACTAAAAATTTGACAAATTCGGGATTCTGTGTACCCAGTAAAAATTCCATCTGAACAAACCTCGCATGCATCAGTTGATTTGGTGTCCATCTCAGTGTCAGTTCACCCTCATAGCTCTTGTGCAGTGACAAGATATTCCTGGAATTTACGGGTCTAAAACAACTCCTCCCAAACGAACATTCTCTCGAAGTAACTGGCTCTTTAGGGCTGTGCCAGGAGATCCATGTTGCAGCGCCGCACGCGGCATCGCGGTGGAAAAGATCGCATCAAACCAAGCTCATTCGTTTTTGATTTTTGGGTGAAAGTAGGCTAATGAAAAGTTTCCCGAACTCTCTTTCCCTTCTATCTTATTTCCACAGAGGCCATAATTTCATCCAATTCTATCCAATTCTCTGAATTCCCAAAGAAGTAATTTTGATCGATTGATTGGTCCAGCTAGCGAAATCTTTTAAACACCATGCGCGTATTATGCACACTAGTAAACGTTTTTTCTCACTACTCGGTTGAATTGGAGTGGAAAAATGGACCTCCTGACCCACTCTCAAGTTTTCCATGTAGAGAACTGTTAAAAAACTGAAGCATGAAAAATCTACTGACCTTTGACAGGAGGCTGAATCTCCATTAGCCCACGCGACATGTTTTGCCGGTAATAGTAGGCTGGATTTGAAGTTGCTGATGCAGGAGTAGACCGAAATCTTGCCTCAGGAATTGCTGTCCGAACTACGATGCTACTTTCCCGGGACGAGTAGTCTGAAAAGGTTCGTTTACAATCACGGACCAACCAAATGAGGGAATCGGCAATGACCGTAATCCTTTGATTAAAGCAAAAAAATAAATAAATTGAAGAATAAAGTACTACAGGGCGTCGCCTCGAATGTTAACATAGGAGAGGGCAGGGAAACAAAATAGAAATTGAAATTGCCTTGACCCAGTATCTCTCTTCACCGTGAAGGCGTTAGTCCTGTTTTTAATAAACCAAGACGCTCTGACACCGATTCTGAATGCCTTATCGGCGCAATGCCCCCGTATTTTGCGGCGCCGGTATACGAAACTGTGCGTTCGATGACGCCTACGGGAGCTTGAGGCTACAGACCAGTTAGAGTGTTAGCTTAAGCTCTTCCTGCCAGCCTGTTGAATGAGCTGGAAGACCACCCTTAGGTTAACCAAGGAGCAGAAGATAATCTTCGTTCAATCGATCAGAGAGCTGTGAAAAGAGCTAGAAAGTGGTGAGCATCAAAATAGCAGGATTGCTCCATAATTGTTGAATTCTACTACCTTAAGCGTTTTGAAGGGACAGAGGTGGCGCCTGGGACCGCTTACACCGCGCATGAGGCGAGGGTCAAATCTCGCATCAAACCTTTCTCATATGAACCAAGTCGTCCATCGTTCCGGCATGGGTTAAGTAATGAGGAACAGACTCGCTTGGGAGGAAGAGATCATTGGTTTCTATTTTATTTTTTTCTCTTTACTCTTCGTTGGCCCCTTCAAGCGATTGCGTGGGCCAGACAACTTTCAAGTGCCCCCACAATACTGAATGGAAATGAAATGCGTGGCGCATCTCAAGAAGGGAGTGACCAATGCCGAATGCTTCATTGTTTCTGTTTAGCACGTTTCCAGCAAATCTCCTTTCTCCTTACATATTCATGCCTATATTAATTTTTTCCATGCATTGTGTACGCGCAAAATCAATACTCATCTCAAAACACTAAAGGGTGCAAGAAGTTTGAACGGGTCCTTTTCAGTGGCAAGTAGTTAGCAATTATTTTACGAATTCTTGACTTGTTTTCATTAGATAATTGTTTGCGTTGCAAAAGTGATCACTGGCATGCTGAGATGTGGGCAAAAATTTTGCCTCAACCAGGTTTCGTACCCGGATCTCTTGCTTTCTGGGTAATTGCGCTACCAGTATTTTACCAATGGTTTCTGAAACTTTGGCTGCCTGAAGGGCTCATGGTCACGCGACTGCTACTCTAGTCGCTGTAGATATTCGATGAACTATCCATCAAGTTAATTTATGTCCTGCTAATAGAATATTCAGCTCCATGCTGTCAAGCCTCCCTCGCGACGAGCGCTTGATAAGAAGAGTACGATTACGAGTTTTGCGATTAAGAGGGGATAATTCCGAGACTAAGCATAGCGCACGTGAGTATCAATCAAGTACACAAACACACATACATGATTTGGGCTGAAATTAGCCGTGCCTAATCTTTTCCGAGTGGTTTCGCGTCCATGGAGATGCAATTTGATGGCGGCTGCGAGAGAGATTTAAATAGATTTCCAGCGGCTAAATGGAAACGGGCCTCCCTGTTGAGCTTTTTCGAGCAAAGAAAAAGCAAACAATTGATTTAGAGGTCTACTAATTTACTGTAGGCCGAGCAATCGAATTACCTTGTACTGGATGGGGGTCAACTGTCCATCGCGGAAGTTCTCGACGGGAGGGGGTCCTATTCGAGTTTTGTTGCAGGGGGTTCTACGATGGGAAAGCGAAAAAGGTGAAAGGGGATTCGTATCTGCAGTTGAATTAGTGCGTGGCACCTCATCACCCGGAGCTTAATCCCCTCTTTCCCGCGACTTTCTGCTTCATTTCCAGCAGCCGCGACTACATCGCCAGACACCTTCCACCAACTGACCCCTTCCCCTCCTCCCCCTCCCCCTCTAAAATCGTATCATAAAAATAACCGACAACGCGTATTTTTCCCCCAGTTATACCCTGCCTCGGGAATAATTACGGTCCCCCCCCCGAATCTCCGCTTCAGAATAGCAAATAAATGCCGATTCATCCCCCCCCCCCTCAAAAAAAACCATTTTGGGTAGGGTTCCTTCATCTCTAGGAGCTTTATTGACGTGACGGCGAGAAGTGGAGGGGTAGAGTGAGGGGGGGGGGGCAAATAATTAAATGTAAAAAACAACGAAATTTTAAAAAATCCTCTGAAATTTGCAAGAAATTCTACAACTTTCAAAAAGCTCTCCCCTATGTGTTCTAAGAAGAGAAGGCTCATTAGGCTATATACAAACCTATGGATCTCTACCAAGAATCGCAAATATACGACCAACATGATTTGAGGCGCTATCGCAAGATACGGGGGCATTGTGATGGTTGTGCACGAGAAATCGCGTAAAACACCTCTTTTGGAGTCAAGTCGAGGACTACCTTTGGCAGGAGATTAGAAACTTCAGGGTACATGAGTGATTTCCATTTTCGCCAAAGTTCTTGCCCTTCCTAGGCTAGCCCTGAAGAATGCCCCCGTATATTGCGATAGCGCCGATTATAAATACTTCAGTATGTAGGAAGTAGTAAAATAAAAGATGGCAAGGCGGTTACGGTCGTCACAAGTTTGCCATTTCGTCAAGCGTTCAGCCTCGTTTTTCACACACTAGCTGTACTTTTCAGACCCTTAGTTATCCACTGCAACAAGGACATCAATTTTTTTCATACAATAAAAATGTTACCCTTGTAGGACGGAAATTAGCGGAACTCCGCGCGACTTCATTTCTTCGTCTATCGAGTTGGCCAGGAAAAAAGACACTGCGCGTTGTTTTTGCAAACCCAGCAGCTCGAGAGATCCTAATTGCATTTGAACCTAACTCAGAAGTGAATACGACTAACGAAGACATCCTGCGAAAGCCTTTCAATTCAGTTTGCTTTTTTCTCGCTTCTCAAGGGAGTTTCTTGTCTATTTGAGGAGAACACGCACACAGAACACAACTATGACTAACGAACTTTGAGAAAAAGTCAAAAAGCTTTTTTGACACTTAAAGGCACAGTACCCTAAAAATTCAGGTGCCAACAAGAACATACTTGTAGTTGATCGCGACCTACCAATAATGGTGGGCGGGATGAGCTGCTTGGACGACAGGACGTACCACGGACGAGTTCCTCGGCGGTTCGTTCCCGGTAGTCAGTCATGCGACGATACGTGGCTGCACATGGACCCACTGTAAACAAATGCCTTGATGAGTGAAAAACGAACAAATACGGGAAGCGATATGAAGAAGCGGATTCGGAGTCACATTCTATTAAGGTTTTTTGTGGTCCCGCAGGAATTATAGTATCATGGGTCGGAGCATGGAGCCTTCTGCGGGCCAGCAGGCCGTCGGCATTTGATTACCCCAATAAATTATTTCCCGAAGTGGGACGATAGGCTCACGGAAAGCTCTAATCTGAGATACGTGACAAAGAGTCGGAATGTTATTGAATAGAAGGAAGTGCAATGGAAGGAGGCGCGAACAACGAGAAAAACCTTCACGACCGCACGTTTCCTCTTCAGAACGATAAGGGCGGGCTGAAAAGCTATGAAGGTCTAGTCTAGGACTAGCATTGATGACACCGTGAATCTGAGAGGTCTGACATTAATGCAAATTTGTGCCAACATGCAATGAGCGTGAGCCTCGGGCATACATCGATTGGCTAGAGAGGTTGAGAGGAACTGGTGGCTAAGCAGAGACGCAGCTACTCGATAAGCTCAGGCAGCAAGCCATAAGTGTGAGAGTTGAACAGTAGGGCCCGTGGCCATTCACTAAGCAGCAGGAAATGCTCAGTTAAAAGGGCTCCAATACGTTTACATCCACAGCCAGCCCCGAAGTCAAGCGGGTATTGCGCCAAGTTCATCAATTCTATCGATCGATTTGTCTCCTCTCCGAAATCGCGCGCTTTAACCCGATTCTTTCATTGCGTCGCCTGATACGTAGCCGGCCAAAGGCCAACTTCTTTCCATGCCTCGCCTTTGGCTCCGCCCGAATTACCTTCGATGTCCATAAGTGTAGTTTTTGTACGTTTGTTTCTCTTCGGAAACCGAATCTTCATGCGTGAAACTTTGTGTGCTGTTTCCAGTGATCACAACTGACACATGTCAAGAAAGAATGCAAGAATTTTCCGCGAAAGATTCCTTTAACGAGGACGAATGCGCGATTGGCAACCTACGCGTATTCTACCGTAATGTAAGTTCGTTGCTGTGAATAGTTTGAGAAGTTATGCATCAAACATCATGATCCTATCCTCTCCATGAATCGAGCTTGAGAGCCATTCTCCACGACGAGAGGATGGATTGTGCTTTTGTTGAAAAATTCGAAACTGAGAAGGCTGTCAATCG